TTCCAGAGTTATGTCGTTTGTGACCCTACCATAACATTGAGGGTTGATAGTTGAGAATGTCGATTAATTGGGTATGATTCTAAGTCAATAGAGTTACGTCGTTTTTGTTGTTTTGGAAGCTTGGTGGTAATCGAATTTATGGGGCTTTCGATAGCCAACTACCAGCTGCTCTGAAAAAAGCTTCCTTGTGATAGCCATCTTTCTTTAAAAAACGTTCCAAAAGTTATGTCCGAGGCATATGGTTATTATAACTTACAAGCCCCATTTGATTAATCCAACACAAGCTATAGAATTCTCTTGGCTTCTTTAACAATTCACCTGAAATATCATTTGATGCTATAATTCTCTGCATTTAACACTATACTACATTGTGGATAGGGGTGTCAACGGTATTTGAAAATATGATTTTGAATTTGATATTCGACATAATCGAATCGAATTTGGATAATTCGAATATTTATTCAATCAAATTTGAATATTCTATTCTTATTGAATAGTTAATCGGATTCGAATTCGGATATGACCTGATTCGATTCGATAAATATCCGAATTTGATTGATTATTTAATTCTTATATATAATATATAAATATTTTATATAATTTATATACAATAATTAAGTTATATAAATAATTTGTATATATATTTATATACTATATATTTATTTTATATATTATTAATTATCTAAAATAATTAATTAATCAAATTCGAATTGAATCGAATATTCAAATATTTAATCGGATCCAAATTTAGATATTAATTTTTGATTTCTGTCGGATATCAACTCGAATTCGGATATCGGGTTTTTTTTTAATCAGATTTGAATTCGAATATTGTCTAATCCAATTCAAATTCGGTCCATTTACACCCCTAACTGTAGATGGAACATTTTGTTAATTTTGATACAGGAGATAGAACTATTATTGCTTCTAATTCGGGGAATACAATACAATTTGGTATTTATGAAAGATTTTCTCAATTCATAAAATTTGAACTGTTTGCAGCAATAAGAAAGACCACCTTGCATGCGATTGAAGAAAAAAAATGGAAGTACAGATCATTAGCTAAACAATTTGTGCACTACTAATTTAATAACATATCACTCATTAGGTAAATGCTGGTGGGGGATTTTTTTCACCAAGTTTAGATTTCATATAATGTATAATCCATGCTTCATATATTGCCAAAGTAAGTTCTGTATTACATGGTGATGTTTGTTATTCAGGTCCCAATCAAGGTTTGGAATTTTGTTAAATATCGGATTGTATTGGCTGGAACGTATCGTTTTGGGGCCTTCCATATAGGGGGTGTTTCGGGTCATTGAGTGGTTGAAGGGGTAGATCGACGTTAAACCGGCTCCTCTGAACCAAATTTATAAAAAAAAAAAAAAAAAAACATTACTGATATAGGACGATACATCCTATCAGCATATCACCCTGTATCAATATTTTGAATCTTGGTCTATGGTATTATTTTTCTTAGTGAATTGGATTTTTTTTAGATCTTTATATTAGGTTTTGTAGTTCAATTTACCACAATTGAATCAAATTCAAGAGATTCAATTGGAATAATAATGATATATAGGACTTTTATTTTACAACTGAATTTAACCTAAAGCATGGATATCTTCATACAAATGTTCCCTGCTTTGGCACTTCTCTCTCTTATAATTCATGGTTGCACCTTGGGGACTTTATGTTGCATTCATTGAATAAAAAACCAGATATTGACTTTCATTTATGATTGGTTCTCTTGAGTCATTTATGGTCTTGAATGGGTTAGAGAAGTAATAATAAAAAAAATGCTCAAGCTGAACGATTCAACACAAAAACGTTATAGCTGGTTTTGACACGTTGCATGATGAAGAAAAGATGCCTCCAACAATGGTGTTTGTGATAATCCTTAAATTTGCTTTTACTTTTAACTTTTTTAATATTTTTGGATTAGAAAAGATAAATTAACATTTGGATTTAATATTGATTTATATTTTTAATTTTTAATATTTTTGTATTAGAACTTAGAAGTGACATTATTTTCACTTTCAAAAATCATTTCCTTTTTATTTTCAACATCAATTCTCTTTATTCCCGTGCATGAATAGCGGTGGCAATTGGGCGGGTTGGGTTGGGTTTAGTTTGGGTTGAGCTTTAATCTAATTCATCTAACTTCTCAACTCATTAATAACCCAATTATATAAAATTAAATGAGTTGGGTTCAACCCAAACCCACTTTAACCCAATCCAACCCAAACTCTTTTAACAAATAAGTTGGTCATAGCTTAGTGGTAATTTCAGTTACTATTTACACAAGTGGTGAAGATTCAAATCACATTACATGCATGTTATTTTTACACAAGCGGCGAAGTCATTTGACTATGTTTGGATTTTGGTTTGATTGAACCACTTAGGTTCAAACCGGTCAGACCAATTTGAACTATCTAATTGGATTATCTTCGAGCTAATCACATCATGGGTGGTTGAACCATTTAGATCTGGATCAGTTTGACCAGACTGGACCGGTTTAGTCAATGGTGGATTGACTTAGACTAGACCATATCAAGTTTGTGCACGGGTTTGGGACCAAACCGACTGACCCGAAGCAGGTCAACGTAAGTAAATCGGGTCAGTCCGAATTGGGGTCGTGTTGTGTGGATATTGGTTGGCCGAACGGTCCAGACTGGGCAAAGCATGCGGACACCAAAGCATCCGCCCGAAATTGTTTCGGATTCGGGTTAACCCGATCGGCTTGTACCGGGTCAGGTTGAGCTGTGTTAATACTGGTTGGACCAGACAACCCAAACCGGGCAGAGCAAGCAATACTAAACCATCCTGTCCGAGGTCTATTTCGGATTCGGGTCGACCCATATCGATATATGCTGGATCGGGTCAGACCGCGTTGAACTGGTCTGAACTCTAGTCAAATTGATTTGGACTTATGTTGGGTGAAGTGTGTTGGTTCAAGACAAAACTAAATTTAATCAATAATTAATAAAAAATTAATGCTTTAATTGTAAATTATTTAATTCAAATGAAGAAAATTAAAAATAAAGACTAAGGAATTAATACTTGTCTGTAATGATTAACCCAATGATTATCCACAACTCAACCCAACCCAACCCAACAACCTATTTAAATGGACGGATTGGATGAATTAGATACTCGGTGGGTTCAACGGGTTGGGTGAAAAATTGCCACCCTTAGTCATGAACACAACCAATGCTATTATTGCTATTGTCGATTATGGAGCTAACAATTCATGGTTTTAGAACCAATAAATCAAACAGATTGAATCGAATTGGATATTGGTAAAATCCAATTTTGATTTATTTACAATCAAATTTGAATTGGATGGTATCCATTAGATATTTAACAAATTCAAATCAAATTCAAATCAAATTCAAATTATAATTGGGATTACTAGTATGAAACTTGAACCTATGACAATTTAATGAAAATGAAATATGTAGACCAACTTTACTGATAGATATAATATGAATTTTAAGTATATATGGACATTATATATTTAAACTGAATCGAATTAGATTGAATAGGGGTGGATCTTTATTTAATCCAATTATAAATGGATTGAATTAAGATAACCCCTATAGGATTGAATTCAACTTCGAAGTTGAATAATCAGATACCATTTGCAATCCTACGCATAATAGCATTTTCTTGAAAACAACCAGCATATTGTATGCAATTGTTGGTTTTAGAACCATCAATTCGTGGTTTTAAAACTAACAAAATAGCCTTTACTTGAAAACAACTTTTTATAGAAAAACATGACTTACTCATGTAAGCATGAAATGGTAGTCATATGATGTTTCTCACACCCAAATTTTGCTCTGATCATAATGTCTTTATTTGATGAATGATAATGATCATACAATCTTGATAGTTAAAATACATGTACACATGATGCTGGAAATTGGGGTCATAGAAACTTAGAGGAAAAGCTCTGAGGTGTGTTTAAAGATATTGCCTTTAGAATGTTATTTGCCCCTACTCAGTTTTACTGAATTTGCTGTTTGGTTATAGGCAAATTCTTTCTTAAGATATAACAGAACTTTGGGTGAGGATCGAACTGAGAGAAACAAGAGTGATTTTCGAAAACTTGTGTTCCATTTGTTTGATTCACTCTCCTTATGTAATTTTTGAAGAGTTATAGAGAAGAAGGTGTTAGTTCAGAAAAAGGCTCTTTGAATTGTCACAATTTCAAACCTTGTGTGACCGTTAAAAGTTATTTAGTGTCTCTTGATCACATCTGATCAAATTGTGACCATTGATTCAATGGTCATGGAGACGAGCAAAGTGTGCCTCTAAAGTGCCTCATTACATCATATACATGCATGCATGTGTGTATGGTGCAAGCCTCCATACTCTCATCTTATATTTCTAAAGAGTGTAAACAAGTTCCTATTTAAAAATTCAAAACATGTTTAGTAATTTTCTAATGTGAGACAAGTTAAAAATTGGTTTTAGTATGAAAAAAATATATTTTTCAAGATATATGTGCAGATGTATTTTCCGTGTAATTAACCAATCAAACCCCATTGAATTTAATCTTCAATGAGATTAAAATCCAACAAAACTGTAATTTTGACCTGCAAATTTCAAAGTTTCAATAGGTGTCTCATCCTCATGAGAAAGAAAAGGGAAAAAATAAAAAATAAAAATAGTTGAAAAGAAACACTTTCGTCACAAAAGAAAATAGATATGGTTTTGATAAAATATAATACAGACTTTTTCTTACTGACTTTTTCATCTAAGCATATTTTATTGAATTTAAACGAGATGAAAAATTAATTGATTATTTTTTTTAAAAGCTGGCTTAAACAAGTAGCTCATATTAATTCAATTTAATCTTGCCAAGAATACGACCACATACATGCAATGATTTAGAAAAATAAAAAGAGTTGAGTAGTTGGCATTTAGACATGCCCAACATGAAAAGAGAGATGAACTTGCTCGTTATTTTTCTTTAATAACTTGACCGACCTTAACGTATAGCCCAATATCAAATTGACCAAAGACAATAGGGTTTGGGTTCATGAATTGGAATACCTCTCACATGGGGTTCCCCTCTTTAGCGTCATATTGGAATCTCCTCCCCGTGGACCCACATTTTACTAGCTCGAAATCCTTCCAATACCTTACAAATGGTTCGAAAACATACTCTTCACAGAGAATAGAGATATCCTCACTCACTGAATGACTGAATCAAAGCCAAGTACAATATCCCAACCATCCTACAAGCTTCTTAGGCATCCAACAAGTGGGCCTGATAAATGAGCCGGTGGGCCCCTACACCCATCAAGTGGGCCACTGATGAAAAAGCTCTGATCAATGAGTCAGTGCTTGGAATTTGCATCCTGCATGCACCATATCTTTCTTGGTATTTTAATTCCTACCTTTAAACCCATGAAGCGTCACAACGTCTTGTGCCTAGTCACCTAGGCTCCCATTTCCAGGGAAGTTTCTAAAGGAGATTCTATGGAATCATCCTCTCTCTCTCTCTCTACACTTTTGACAATATTATAAAATCAGCTGCAAGGCTCGTTGGGCCACGGGTTGTAGTTTGAGTAATAACCGAATATGCCGGGAATGCTTTTGCTTCAAAGTTCGAAGTTCAGGCAGGCTTTAAGTGTCCGTCCACTCGTCATCACGCGTAGCATATGCCTTCAAATATTCTACTTTTCACTAATATAACCTCTGTAGCTTCTTTTTCTTTTCCTGCTCTGCGTTTTGGGCTAATAATATAATCTGTTTGGTCCCTTCTGGGTTGAAGGAAGAGGGATTGATTGGAAACATGAAATTCGGGAAGAGATTGAAGCTCCAAATTCAAGAGACCTTGCCCGAGTGGCGGGACAAGTTCTTATCTTACAAGGATTTGAAGAAGCTCGTCCGGCTTATCTCTTCTGGGACGTCGACATTGGGGAAATTGCATGAGCCCTGCAAAGCAGAAGCCAATTTTGTTTACTTTTTGAATGCAGAGATTGATAAGTTCAACGCCTTCTTTATGGAGCAAGAAGAGGATTTCATAATCCGTCATGAAGTAAGTCATGCTGTTTTCGTTGTTGCTATTTAGTGTTAAGCCAAATTCAGCACTGCTCTAAGATGTTAGTTTAGGCAGTTAGAGGGACATTGGGTCAAGAAAATATGACCCGACTGTGAACTACCCAAATCAAACTTGTTACAAATTTAATTCAGAGTTCTAAATCAAGCATGTTATCTATAAGGTCCAAAGCAGAAATTGATGAGAGCTGGTAAAATAAAACAAAACAATAGTTCATTTAGATCAAGATACCTGTTATGAATTGAGGGGAGTCGTCAAAACTGTGTTAGGACTTACAAGAGAGGGAATATGTGAATCCCAACAATCTCTCCTTATTGGGTTATGGGCCATTCTTGTATATAAGTCTCTTGCACCTCTCATTCATTTCCAATGTGAGATTTTCTTCAACTACTCATTGTGAATCTCAACATTACCACACTGATCCAAGGGACGCCAATAGAAATCCACTCGAAAAACTCTAAACGAAGTCTACAACAACTTTGACTTGATCCAAGGGACTCCATTAGCTCTCTTGGTTGTCACAGGCATGATTCGCTAAGGCATTTGCAACCTGGTTACACTCCATATACGCATGGCTTATTGTTGAAGCAACCCTGTAGAAGATATCATATTGCCTTTGGGTTGGCTAACTTGTAATGAAAACACTGTTAAAAAATGTATGCTTCTTCCCATTTAGAGGCCGGCATTTACCTGCAAATTCTATTCGATGCTTTTATAAATTGAACACAAAGGTTGCTGGTTTGATCCCAGCCAAGTTACCGGGAGATGGAACAATAGGAAGATGTCATACCCATTTTTCTGTGAAACACTTGTTTGTGTATTTCTGCAAACTGACATTACTACTTGTACTCACAATATGGATGTAAAGGTTTTTGCAACATTTAGTGCCCAATGCATATATGAAAGCCTCTTATATATTCTCCTTAAATCCTTAGAGAGCGTAACAGAGTAAGAAAATTGAACTGAAAATTGGTGGGTATGTTGATATAGGAGTTAAAACAGAGGATCCAGAGGGTGGTCGCTACATTTGGACCAAATGGAAGTCAGCCTTCAGAGGTGGATTATAGAGAGGAGATGGACAGGATTAGAAAAGACATTATCAATTTCCATGGTGAAATGGTATTGTTGGAAAACTATAGCAACATCAATTATACAGGTATTCACTAACCTCAAGGCTGGTTCCACGTTTAAAATCAAATCCAAAGTATTTGCATTAACAGTGATCCAATTTGCTTTCAGAATTACAATTTAATTAAGAAAATGGTTTGTTGCAGGGTTGGCTAAGATATTGAAGAAGTATGATAAACGTACCGGAGGTTTGTTGCGACTACCTTTCATTCAGAAGGTATTGCAGCAGCCTTTCTTCACAACGGACCTTGTTTCAAAGCTCGTCAAAGAATGTGAGAACACAATAGATGCAGTGTTCCCAGATGTGCAGGAAGAAGGTAGAATAAAGGAAAGAGGACAAAAAGAAGCATCAATGGTGGCTTGTCAGGGAATTTTCAGGAATACCATAGCTGCTCTAGTGACCATGCAAGAAATGAGAAGAGGGAGCTCTACTTATGGTCAATTTTCTCTTCCTCCTCTCAACTTGCCAGACTCTGAGCTCATTCAGTCCTTCCAACCTAACTCTCCCATTCCCATTCTCTAGTAGAAAACAAATTGAACAAAGATTTATGGTTACAACAGAGTACACTCTTCTGTTTTCTGTTTCTTCTCTTGTATAAAAATATAGATTATCATTTGTGTTTCTTTATCAAAATAAGTTGATGACAAAAATTGTCTGATATACACATCACAAAGAGCAAAATTATATGTCTGGAATATAGAAGCATTTATCAGAACTAGCAGAAAAAAGCTTTCATTCAGTAACCACAAATATTCATGGATTGTTCGACCTTTATTCATTCCATTTTCTTGACCGGTTACAGCTTGTTCGACTAAAACCTTTATCGGATAATCTGAAAATCAAACACCTGTAACTGGGGTATTAAGTTTATTGGGGGCATCAAACAGAAGGGTTTCAGGATGATAAGTATGTCTGTTATCTGCAGCAGAAAATTGCAATACGAAGTGAAACGTAGGACTGAAATGGACAAGAACAATACCTATTTTCATGAGATACTACACCAGGATAGGAAATTCTTGATTCCATCATCATCTCAGAGTAACTATTGGAGGTGTTGAATGGAATTATGTTGTGGGTTTTAACTTTGCGCTTGGAGATATTTGATATTTCTTATTGGCAGGGATGGAATGGGATCATCATTTGGGATTTCGAGAAAATGACTCGGTTGATGTGGAAATACCAAAATGGGTAGGGCTGCAAATGATTTGGATCGAATTTGGATTGGGATATAACCAAATCGAATCCAACAAGAAATCGAGATGGATATGTAAAGTAAAACAAAGATTTTGAATTCGATCATTTTCTGGATATCCGATTCCAAATATTTGGATCCGATTTATTTAAACGGATCATATTTTCGGATCTGATTCCATCCGATTGTGTTAACCGGGATGTTTGAGCCCAGCTCAAATGAATCGGATCCAAATTTAATTATGATCAACTTTGCTGCCCTTAGAAAGGGACTTTGATCCAACTTCTAACCATCTTATTTACCAAAAACAATCCAACTTCCATACTGCCTACCCTAGAAAACCTTTTTCTCGCTCCATTCGGTTCTGTTTCGCTCCGAGTTCCCGCTCCAATGCAACGACCCAGTTTACCGCAAATGCTCTAAAACATTAGAATATGGGAAAGTTGCAGGCAATGGCGCGGGAGAGGACGTGCGCGTTCTGTCTGATTGCCTGGTCTTCCTTCCACTTCGACCACTCTCCTTCACGCGGCATGCTTCTTCCTCTTCTCAATTCTCGTTCCCTTTACTTTGTTTTAATTCGAATGGATCAAGAAACAAAGTCACATTTTTAGATTACTTGAATTTCTTGCAGGATGAAAAGGTCGTTGTATTCGAAGATATCAAGCCTTCTGCATTCATGTTAGAGTTTTGTTTTTCTTTGTTTTCCTCTGTTTTTCTTCTTTTCATGCTAGTTCTAGTTCTTGAATTTAGCATTGGATTTGTTGTATGTTTAGATGTTTGTTACATCGTTCTTATCGGAATCTTGAACTAATTTAAATTAGGTAAAAACGGTTTCTGGTGAAATATTTGATTGAGAATTTGTGTTCTGCCCACCACCTATGATCCTATAAAGTTTTTAATTGAGGAGGATTAACGATGTACCCAGATCATTGGCTTCATCTGCTACTTCTTTAGTGTTTAGAAGGAGGCAAGTTTGTTTATGCCATTATTTCTGCTAAAAAGCTGATAAACAAAGGTTTCCAATTTTCTGAAAAAATTAATAAGGAATTTTCTGTGGGAGCCTGGAGAGGAGAAGAGAKATCATAGGGTGAGTTGGGAGGTGGTCACTAGGTGTAAAAATCTAGGAGGTCTTGGGATTGGTAATTTGAAGAAAAGGAATATGGCTCTACTGGGGAAGTGGTTGTGGAGATTTTCATTGGAAATGGATAAATTGTGGACTAAGATTGTGGCTAGCATTCATGGGCTGGAAGACAATGGCTAGGATCTTGGAATCTTGGCAAGGGCTTTAGCTGCTTCTCCTTGGAAATCCATTCACAATCTGGTTCCAGTTTTCTCCCCTTGGATTAGGTATGGTCTCAACTCTAGTAACCGAATAAAATTATGGGAACAACTTTGGGTCGGGGATTCTCCTCTGAAGGACTAATTTCCTTCCTTGTATGTTCTATCAGACTTGAAAAATAAACCCATATCTTCTTTCTTGGTCCCTTCAGCCTCCACTTCTGGCTTTGGATGGAACCTAGGCCTACGTAGGGCAATTAGGGATACAGGCATGGATAGCTTGGTAACTTTGCTAGCCTACCTTGAGATTGTCTTCCTAAACCCTGCTAAGGAAGACACCAGATTTTGGACCCCTTCTAGTTCTGGTACCTTTTCTTGTGCTTCATTCTTTGAAACCTTAACTCAGCCTCCTATCCCCTTTGGGTTGTCTTTTCCGGTTAAGGAAATTTGGAGCAGGCCTATTCCTTCTCGGGTTGGTTTTTTTTGTTGGGAAATTTTCCTGGAAAGAATCAACCCTTTAGACTTACTTCAGAGAAAGAAACCCAACTATTGTCTACTTCCTAATAGATGTGCTCTTTGTAAAGCTAATGGGGAATCTGGCTACCACCTCATGGTCTCTTGTAAGGTTGCTAAATCTGTTTGGGAGTGAGTTTTCTCCCGTTTTGGGTGTTCTTGGTATCCTCCGGAGACTGTCAAAAGTTTGTTTTCTCCTTCTTTCTTCAGTTGGCCTAGGAAGCAAGGGAAGACTATGTGGAGGTGTATTAGGGCAACGGTATGTTGGTCATTGTGGGAAGAAAGAAACTCACGCATTTTTTCCGACAAGGAAAGAACATTGGAAGAATTGTTAGATCGAATTCTTTTAAGGGCTGCCCACTAGCTAAAATCTTTGGAGTTGTTTTCAGATTTTCCTGTGGATGACTTGCTAAGAAATTGGAAAGAGATTGCTTCCAATGCTAGATGCAAGAGGACTCTTTGTCTGTTTTGGTCCCCTCCCCCCTCGGGCTTTATGAAACTGAATTTTGATGGCAGTAGTGTAAGAAATTCAGGGCCCTCTGGGATTGGAAGAGTCTTTAGGAATGAGGAAAGGATTGTTATTGCTTTGTTCTCTGGCCCTATTGGAGAAGGTGACTCTCTTAGGGTTGAGATCCTTGCAGCGCTTGAAGGAATTCGAAGAGCAAAGGAATTAAATATCAGTTGTTTGATCCTGGAAGGTGGTGGTTAGTTGGTTGAAGATAGATGACAGTGGTTTGTGGAACTTTAACAATGAAAAAAAAAACAGTTCTTATGGCTGGGTAGGAACATTGAGATTCAGTACAACTGGGTGAAGAGGAGTGCCAAATCATTTGTGGATGGGTTGGCCAAGCAAGGAGTGAATAGGGAGTCTGTTTTTTGGGCTAGTTTTTAATCTTTTCTCTTTGCACTCCCTTTGTTTTCTGTTTTTGGGGAGCTAAGATATTTTATCTCCCCTTTTGTATCCATGTTCCCTCTTTTCTTTTAATTTAATGAAGTTGGTGTTATTGATAAAAAAAAAAAACAATGTTGTTGGTTATGCTAAGGGAATGAATTTGAACGTTTAGTTAAGGTGTTGGTTTTGAGATCTCAACCAGTCAGTTGACTTAACGACTTAACGTGGATAATTTTCATTTTTAGGAACATATAAGGTGGTTAGGCAAGGAACAAATCATGTCAGTCCCTCGGCAAGGAAGTATGAATAAAACAATGGATCCAGATCAAGGACTCTTTTCTGTTGGAATCTGATTCTTCTTCCAGAATGTGCATTTTTGATTGGATGGAACAAGTTGCCTCCCGGACTCAAACTCCAAATAGCAGTCAAAATTCTTTGAATCTTCTGATATTGAACATGATTTGTAAAATTCTCCCAAAGGGCATTAAGTGAGCTTGATAATATTCAAATAGGGATTTGAATGTTTTTCACAGATGTGATGATTTACCACAACCTAAATGGAGTAGGTTATAGTAGTACATGAAATTTATAATCATTATCTCATTTTATGTGGTCCTTCAGTCTGTTCTTGTTTTTTGTTCATATAGAAGGATTGGAAGAGAGAAACATGGAACTGGTCGAGCCTTTATTTGTTTTAGTATATTCTTGTTGATAGAGGAAGTATGTTGTTTTGAGTTGAATAGAGCTTTCTAAAGTTAGCCAAGGAAGAGAGACATATAAGAATCATGCAGTATTCAGGCATGCTTTTTGCAACATAACCTTGGAAGGTGAGCTCCTTTTTCAAAATTGACCTTGAAAATTACTCCACATGAGATCGTGGTTTATGTGATTTGTCATCGATTCATGGTTTGTAATCATAGGTTGAATAGAAAAACCTAAATTTAGCTCAACACCAATTCTTTGCCAATTGTCTTGAGATATTGGTTTATTAAGCTTAGGAGGTCAGATCAATCATCAATAAATATTTGATTCACTTAATTCAACTCAATTTTTGAATGCTTTTTAATGGTGAACACAGAATTATGTCAGGCTAATAATTTCCTTACTTGCAAGTAGGTTTTGCAAATTGAAAATCCAGTGGCTATGGGCAAGTTATCCTCATGGTGCCTTAAATTTTCAAATGGACTTTAGATGGTTTACTTTCCTACTTTTGGTTGAGGTCTGACCTATAGCTTTGAAAATTGGCTTTTTTGCTTTCTGCTTCAAGTGTGTTCCATTGGTTAGTTTGTCATACATAAAATAGAACCTTTTGTAGCATTTAATAGATTCATCTACTATTTTGATCAGGTCTTTCCTGAAGCTTCCTAGTTAGGTGATAGCTTTTGGACTCAACAAAGCCAAAGGTCTGTAGAAGAGATACTATAATTCCTGATAACCTCCATCTAGTTTCTAGCTTCTCAAAAAAAAAAATGTTACTAACAAAGCTGATTGAACTCTTAAAATAATATATAATATGACACTCTCCCTTCTGTGAATAAACCATATCCTCACCTAGCTTTATGGGTCTTGAGGCATTTACCTGGTTGATAATAAAATATAATAAAATTTATTGAACTAACTCTACAAAATTATTTAAGTTAAACTAACTCTACAAAATTGCTTGAGCCAAGTATATTTCATATTTGATCTAATAAATTTACCTAACATAATATATGGAATTTCATACAGTGTTACTAATCAAGTAAACTGAGAGGTTTAACTGAGTATCATTTATGGTTATATACCTTAAGTCATCAGCTAATACAACTTCTCTGAAACATGCGAAGTTTCACAACAAGTAGGATTCTTACATTTTCGTTTAGTGTATAATTATCAGCACTCTACCCTAAAACATAGGGATATCAGTAACTAGCTAGAGGATTCTTTCATTTAATAGACCAATAGGATTGTGGGCTCTTTTTAAATTTAGTTGATAACTATAAATAGGATTTGGCACATAATACAAAACCAAGTTAACTGACTTGTAAATGTTTCTGATGGATCAGTTTGCAAGTTGATCGGTCACGTAACAATGTAGGTAAGCATGGTCTCACTTAGGGGCCTTATGGGACATGAGTACATAATTCCCCCCTGCAATGTTAATGTTTTGGCTGTTATAGTGAATATTAATCTTGGCTCCACCATATTGTTTATAGTTTCTTCATCATCATTATTACTATTATTTTGCTTCTAGTTAAGTTTAATAGTTATAATTTTATTCGCACTTTTACGAACAGATAGACCATATTTATCTTTTATGTATCTGTTGTAAAAAAGGAACTTTGCTGCTCCATCTACTTGACTTAAGTTACTACCATCTTGTATCAACAATTGCTTTGGCTCCTGACCTTGTTCATGAATTAAACTCAAAGCCTTATAATTATGCTCTCTTGTGAATTGTTATTTGTTACTCTTCTTTTAGATTTATAACATGGTAAAATAGTTATTTATGGATTTTTCTTATGATGGAGTTAGGATATACCTCACCCACTTAACCTTGGGTTCTTAATGCAAATAAGACCCTTCCTAATGCCTTTAGGCTCCAAACATATGAGCTTCATGTGTTAAGGCCCAAAATGATGCCCATCACTTGACCAACAACTTAGTCCATAGTAGTCAAGGCTCAGTCACTGACTTGTGATCCAAGTATGAAGCCACTCTAGCAGGCCTTTCATTGTAGATTCTAGAGAAAGAATATTCTAGAATGTTTTGGGTTTTGTCTTTATATGTTTTACCCATTGTTTTCAACCCGCCGTTGACTTGACTGGTTGAACCATTAGAACTGTCACCTGACCATGATTCTGGGTTCGGTTCTCCTAAAACCTGGGAAATGGTAAAAAATTGTCCGGCTTAGGCGGTTGAACCGTTGACTCGTTTGACCCAATCACCAGGTCATGGGTTGCATACTAAATGTGTACGCAAAGTTTCGGAGGCTATTAACTTGCGCTCCGATGTT